ATCAATTGTATTGCTATACACTAGCAAATGAATTTGACAGTGAAATTACAAAACCAACTCCATTTAGGATTAATCTAACAAAAGATGTATACAATTAATTCTCTGAAAACATTGTTAAAAGACGTTAAAGATGACCTTTAAATAAATGAAAAGATACATTATGTTTATGAATTAGAAAACATAATATTTAAAGATAGCATTATCCCCCAAATTGATTGACATATTCAATACAATCCTTATCAAAATTCCAGCAGCCTGTTTTATAGAAATTGACAGCTGATCCTAAAACTCACATGAAAATTCAAAGGACCTCAAACTGTTAAAACAATCATAAAAGAGAACAAAAGTTGGAGAATAAAAAGTGCTCTGCTAGCTTAATAGTAGACATACGAGATGAATGGAACAAAACAGACAGTTCCCAAACACACCACAAATACTGAGAGTTCAAAATTGACAGTTCGCAAACAAATTTAAAATAATTAGTTTTTGACAAGTGTGCCTTGATAAATCAATGGAGAAACAGTCTTCTGAGAAATGGGGCTTAGACAATTGCTTGCACAATAATGAGATTGGATACCTATTTCATTTCATTTGTAAAGATTAACTCAAAATAAAACATAAACATAAATGAAAGAGCTAAAATTACATGACTCTTAGAAGACAACAGAAGTATAAATCTTCATGACCTTGGTTTCTTACATATAACATCAAAAGCATGAACAATCAGAGGAAAAAAAAAATTTTAACTGGATTTCATCAAAATTTTTTTGCTTCGAAGACTACCATCAAAAAAGTAGAAACACAATCCACAGCACAGGAAAAATATTTGCATACAGAGTCACATGTGCCCATACTACCCAGCTGAATCTTTTTTTTAAAAAAGTACATATGAGATTAAGTCCAAAAGTATTGCTACTAGGGTTCCAGTTCATATATGCATTTATTCCAAATAAAACAAGTTTAAACACGTCTCTGCAATCTTGGATGGCAACAGACAAGTTCTCTTAGTAATATACTTGTCTCAAGTCTTGTAGTATGCTGTGGAGTCGATTCTGACTCATAGAGACCCCGTATAGGGTTTCTAAGGAGCGGCTGGTTACGCTTGAATCACCAACCTTGTGGTTCAGGCCGCTTTGCAGTCCAGCACATTAACCCACAATGCCACAACAAATCCTGTTAGGGTGCCTTAAAAAAAAAAGTCCAATCAAAACAGTGATTCCTGATGGGATCTACTAGCGCAGATAATTTCAAGGTAGAGAGGGGTCAACTCAGAGGTTATGGCAGCCGTTTCTTGGGATTCCCAAGGGGTAATCTTGATTCATTTTTCTAAGGACACAAGGACAAATCATGGGGGCTTATTATGAAGAAGGTTTTGTTTTTTTTTATTGAAAACAGCATGGGTAGAAAAAGGCCAGGAAAGGTGCACTAAGGAATTGTTTCCCCAATGCACCTGATAATTCAAGGGTGGCCTGCAATAATTTTGTTGGGAAGTCTTACCGCTTCCTCCCTAAGCAGCCCGATCTTGCCTCTTCACACTTCTTTTTGTTCCCTAACCTCAAGGAACTTTTAAAAGGAACACTGAAGAAGTCAAAACTACTGCTTTAAGCTGGTGTAAATCAAAGAGTACAGAATGCTTGGAGAAGGTTTTTAGAAATAGAAACACCACCTTCAGAAGTATATAGACCTAGATGGAGAATATGTTGAGAAACAGTAGCTTCACATTTTGATATTTTTGTTTAATAAAATTGTTTCTATAATTCAGTAGCCCTACTTTTTTACTTACCCTTGTATATATAAGACTTAAGTTCTGCTATCTAGAATACACAAGGTATTCTTACATACCAATAATAAAAAGACAATCCAATTTAAAAACTAGGCTAAGGATATGAATAAACACTTCTCCAGAGAAGATACTAAGGAGCTCTGGTAGCATAGTGATTATGAATCAGGTTGGGAACCTTAAGGTCAGCAGTTTGAAAACTACCAGCCACTCCGCGGGAGAAAAATGAGACTTTCTGCTCCCGTAAAGATTTACAGCCTTGGAAACCCTGTACAGGGTCGCTATGGGTCAGAAACGACTCGACAGCACTTGACAACAACAAAAAAGATACTAATAGCTGAGAAACACATGCAAAAATACGCAATCATAATTAGCCACCAGTGAAATGCAAATCAAAACTACAATGAGATATCATGACTTACACTCACTAGGATATTAAATTAAGTGCTGTCGAGTCGGTTCTGACTCATAGTGACCCTATACAAAAGGAGTTGAACTGGTGGGGCTGAACTACCAGCCTTGCAGTTGGCAGTCTAGTGCTTATTCTACAGCGCCACACACTAGGACTCACCAGGATGGCTATAATTAAATACATAATAACAACTGTTTGTGGATATGGAGGAACTGCAGCTATCATATATTGCTGTAAGTTAGTGACAGATACTCACGTTATATAAAATACCATTAGTACTTTTTACTGAGACGAACAATGTTAGTTTATTTGCTAAAAATTATATATCATATTTTGTCAACATGAGTTATTCCAAAGAACCCAGTTATGGATAGAACTGTGTGTGTGCATGTGTCCCGATTTAAAAAAAAAAAAAAAGTACTGAAATCCTGGTCCCTGTACCTCTGAATGTGATCCTGTTTGGAAATGGGATTTTCTTTTTTTATTTACATGAGGGTGGATCCTAAACCTAATCACTCCTGAGTTATAAAAAGAGCAGAACAGAGACATACACACAAGGATGACCGATGTCACGTGAAGACTAGACTACAAGCAAAGGAACACCGAGAACTGCTGTTGGCACCACAAACAAGGAGAGGCTCACAGAAAGAAGTGTCACGGCTGAGACCCTGATTTAGATCGTTAGCATCCAGAACTATGAGAAAATGAATTTCTGTTCTTTAAAGCCACCTACTTGTGGGTTAATGCACCAGACTGCAAAGCCATTTGAACTGCAACGTTGATGGTTCAAGCTCACCAGCTGCTCCTCAGAAACCCTATACAGTGTCACTATGGGTCAGAATCTACTCAATGGCACTTAACAACAACAACTACTTGTGGTATATGCATATATGTTACGGCAGGACTAGGTAACTGAGGTAAATCCCCCTTTTTGTGGTGCTGTGAATAAGGTGCTGTACTGTAAAGTCAGTTTGAACCACAAGGTCGGTGGTTCAAACTCACCAGCTACTCCTCGAAAACCCAATACAGGGTTGCCATGAATTGGAACTGACTTGATGGCACTTAACAACAACAATCACTATATAAAATTAAAATGATGCAGAAGTATAAAAGGAGTAAAATATAAACTACATATGACTTCTCTCTCCATGCTGCACTATTTAGTAGGTCACCACTGCCAAGTTAGTATAAAAATAGGGGAAGGGAAGCCTTCAAAAAGTTTGTGGAAAAAAGGGAAAGATAATGGAATTTTTCCACAAACTTTTAAAATTCTCCTTTGTATTTTTCTGAATGTCTATCTATTGTTGGCAGGTTGAGTGGCACGCATATAACCCTGCTACCTTTGGGGCACAGATATATGCATGGATGCATACACCTGTGTCCAGGTATATAATTTCCCAAAGTTACTTGCGGGCCCATATTCACTCAGCTGGACCCTTTAAGAAAAGTATATCTAAATAAGATCTTTGTTCTGCAACTTCACAAGTGTTGATGAGGATATGGAGAAACTGGAACCCTAGCAAAGTACTGGTGGCAATGTAATATGTACAGCTATTTTAGGAGACAGTTTGGCAGTTCCTCAGACAGTTAAATATACTAATCAACTGACACAGGAATTCCTCTCGTAGGTACACATCCAAAAGAACCAAAAACACTGTCCACACAAACACTTGTACTTGAACAACCATAGCAGCATTATTTATAACAACCAAAAATGTCCATCACCAGGGGAATGGATAAACAAAGAACAGTACAGCCACAATGAACTCTTATTCTATAATAAAAAGGAATGAAGTACTGATTCACGCTGCATCCTGGATGGATCTTGAAAACATTATACAGTAAACCCTGAGAAAGCTGGAATGTGTGACAGGTGTAAAACCTAGCAGAGAAGGAAAGATCAAGTATTTCTCCACTAGTAGAGAGTGACAGAAAAAAGTGGTGAGGCTACACCCTATCAAAGGCGGAAAACTTTCGAGGCCTGCCTGTAAAAACAAGGCAGTTGCGGGGAGTTCCAGCCTCCACAGGTTTCATTTTATAACTTTAAGAAGCCAGTAAGACAATACCACATATTTTATGATTTTAACTATAGGAAATGTCCATAACAGGCAAGTTTACAGTCAGAAAGTAGGTTCCCTAGTGATAAGGGGGTTTGTCAGGGAGTTTGTAGAGAGTGACTACTAATAGGTATAGGGTTTCTTTTTGGGGCTATGAAAATGTTTTAAAATTGCGAACTGTGAATAGCCTAAAAACATTGAACAATATGCTTTTTAAGTGGGTCAACTGTACAGTATGTGAATTACATGTTAATAAAACTGTTAAATAGAAAAATAACACCAATCAAAGCGCAATACATTCTTTATACCTATGTTTTCCCTAGTGGAAAATTGCTAACAAACTAGAGGGTACTGGTTTTCCCCAGTGTAGAATTACTAATACAGTCAGTGGGTGTCTGAGGATTTCCCTCAATTCTATAAACTGAAGAACAGAATGTAAACAAACCACAACTAAAAAACCTCTCACAAACACTGTATGTTGGAGTAAGTCAGAAAGGCTTAGGTTTATTCTAAAGATTTACTACAGATAGCCAAATCTGACACAATCTAACATAAATAAAGGGAGGACTGAAGCTATCTGGCTGAAAATTCCCAGTAAGCATCTGTTTCTGAGGTTTAATTTTTTTTAAAGTTTAACTACGTAACTTATTGCTAGGAGTATATGAAGATAAATAAATATATATGAGGAAAAAACTGTTTCATAAAACTTATAGTTATGATGCAATATTTTAGTTTAAAGTTTCATTTTTACCATGCACAGGTGATTCTTCATCAGCAAACAGGCATGGTTCTATTTGTTTCAAGGAACTTCGACCTTCAAGTCGTGCAAGCAGCTTGTAAAAAAAAAGAGAGAGAAAGAAAGAAAGAAAATTCATTATCTAAACATCAAATCCTACACCTCTATTTTTACACTTTTTCAAAAGCCTATTTTTCTTAAAAAACAAAACCTTTCATGACTCTGAGGTCTTGAAGGATATTTATGAAATATGAAATACAATTTAGGATAACTATTGTACTGATCTATTTAGAAAATATTTCACTTTATATGTATCAAATACTGATGGTATGATTCCTGCCTAAACAATCTACACTGGGATATCGGATCAAGATGCTAACTGCAAAATATTTAACTATGTTATACTTTCAAATTATCTTTCTCACTGTACTTACTACACCTGTAACATAGGTATCTGTTTGTATTTGACTTCGCCATTATACTGTCAGCTCCTTACCTAGCACAGAGAGGAACAAAAGAGAAAGGTCAAGGAAAACTTTAAAGCAACCACCTGAGCTGAGTCTCAAACGATAAGTAAAAATCTGTTAGATGAATAGGCACAGAGGATATAAATAGCCCTGTGTGTTGGTAAACTATAAGCAGATTGGAAATGCCAGAGCTTGTGGCATGAAAAGGTAGATGAACATGAGGTACTAAAAGACAGCAGAAATGAGACCATGGATAGTCTTAAATGCCATGTTTAGGAGCTTGACCTTTAGTTTGTAGACAAGAAGAAGAACCAAGGGATTTTATGATAAGCAGTGAGAGACAGGCTAGCATAGTGCTTCCTAGATCACATCTCTGGAGCACCTTGCTCACAAGGCTGTTGAGGATTAAGTGTGTTAAAACGAGTGCTTGGCATAGGAGAAGCCAATCTATAATTATAATTAACTATATATATATATAATTAAT